ACACTGGAGCCTTTGTCTCAGGGACCTGAGCCGGCATCGCGATGGGATGCACTAGACCCAGGCTTTGGTGGCAAATTACTAACCCATTATCACACCAGAACACAGGATCATTTATCTTCTAATCCAGAGTGTCACCTGTTCTTCATTTACCAGTCAATAACCATTCATTATGCTCAGTGGAAATTTAAACAAAGCCCTCTCCCTCTGTTCAAGCCAGTAAACTATTCAGCAATAACAAATAAATCTGCAGTTGGGTATCCCTTCCCGTCCCATTCCCAGACTGCAGTCTGCTACAATATGAACTTTAGAGGAAATGCCTAGAAATTGATGGGTCAAAGGCCACAGATAGTCTGATGGAAAAGAAAAGAGCAGATTCTTGGCCGTGGCTCCAGCGAGAGGCGGTGGGGACCCGCTGATCTGCAGATTTGAGCCAGGATCGGAGCAGACACCAGGGACTCGCATCTGTATTCAGAGCACTGGGTCTGTAGGCAGCCACTGGCTTCCTCACACTCGTGGTGGTTTGTTTATTTATTTATTTATTTCTAACCAAGGCCTGTTTTCCTGCACAGGCTAAAAATAGGAGTTTCTGAAGGCGGTCCTAGCACAACAAAGTGTTTCTAAAGAAATCAGATCATCTGAGTGGTCCTGAAAGGCCTACTTGAGGTATTATTTTTAGGATGGTAATTCGAAGCAAACGCGGATCAGTGTACTTACCCCGTTTGTTCTGATCCCGGAGAAAAATGTTCCAATGGGAATTCTAGCCGGGAGCCTAATTTACTTTTTCCTGAAGTTCTGGCATAAGCCAAAACAAGTAGTATGTGTGGCTAGGCATGTATGCGTGTGTGTGTGTGTGTGTGTGCATGCATTTGCATGTATGTGCGCCATGAAACACATGTACACCTTGGATGCAGTTGAAAAGGAAAAGTCAACTGACTTGAAAGGGTGGCCAAAAGGCAGGCTGAGGCCCAGTAAAGCCACCACACTGGGTACCAGTGATCCCAAGGAGGGGCCGGCAGGAATGCCCTCCAGCAGTTACATCCGAGGCCCTGGTACAGACTCCAGAGGCATTCAGAGTGCAGACAGATGATGGGAGAGAACATTCCAGGCCACGGGAAGCTGGTGAGCAGGCACAGACCTACATGGAGCCAGTTCCACTTGCAGGCCTTTGCTTGTGCGTGAGGCCCATTCCAGAAAGCACCTGTCTGAGAAATCCATGGCGGACAGTGCCAGGCACACGTGAGGTGGGTGGGGCCCACCTGCCTCCTTCAGCCCTCCTTCAGACCCACCCCTTCCCATGTTTCACATAGCAGGCAGAGGAGGTTACCAAGCCATATAGACCCCATATGTTGTATGGACCCTAAACCCAAGCAGAAGGACTTGTATGTTATACCTTTGATGAAATGGATCAAGCTTGAGTGGCAGTTGTCAAAGTTGGACATTTAAAAAGTGTCGTGATCCAATTCTCCTTGACTTCTGAATGCACAGTGCACCTGCAGAAACCCCATTAGTCTGAATGAAGCTGCCTTCTGGCCCAAAGGGGTTCATCTGCGCAAGGCTTAGCAGTGTGCCGCCGACCTGACACCTGCCACGCACCAGCCAGCGTGCACTGGCCCCTAGAGGCATGCAAAATCACCCCTCCAAATAGCCCATGGAACAAGAAGAGGATTTAAAACACTCTTAAAATAGGCCAAACATGCAGAAGCATCTGTAAGAAATAACTTCAAATAAAGCAAAAGTGTGTGTGTGTGTGTGTGTGTGTGTGTGTGTGTGTGTGTGTGTAATTGAAGCGGCATTAAGATTTTGCATGGTGTCTGCTAAGAGCAAATAGGCTGCCTAATGGATCAGTAACCTGTTTTCCAGCTTACCCAGCAAGGGAGACACCAACCATAGGTAATTTTCTTTAAATGTTAGAGCAAGAATTTGGAGCTGCTAGCACTGGAAACTGTCTTTGAAAAACAAAATGAAACAAAACAAAAAAACCCGCTTCCTTGTACCAATTTTATATGGATAAATGGATGGGAATGATTTTTAAAAATGTTAGTGTTTATTTGCCTTGCATATTTTATTCATTTCCACTTTTATTTATTTTAAATTTTGAATGTTAAGTTACAATTCCACAGGGTCTGGGATTTTCCTACCCCTCCCCTAATTCCTAACCCCTGACTGATTTTCCCCACATTATTACAATAGTATAGTTCTTCATATGCAGCCATAAGTCCATCAGTCTGTTATTTAAGTGTGCCCCGACATGGCTGGTACAGACAATGCCATGCAGTCCAGTATCTTATTATGTAGATATATCCAACAGTTTCATTGGGAATCCATCTTTGACTTAGAAGTAGAGATGCATACTACATTGTACCTTCACATCTGGATATGATAGTGCATATTACGCCATACTGTACATTCCCTTAAATGAGAAGCCGTTAAACAAGGTCAACAACAGGAGTGAAGTTAAAAGGAAAAATGTACAGCCTCCTGGAGTCAAAAAATGCACCATGGTATAACCAATACATGAGTGAAGAAATGAAAAAGAAAACACAAAAAGCTTCTTGGGTACAGTGATACCACCATGCGATCCTTGAGCCAGCAATGAATATGATAAGACAAAAGAAACTATTTGGAAGAAATGAAAATAAAGACCAAAACATTGAAACACATGGGATGCTGCAAAAACAGTATGAAAATTATTACTGATCTAACAATTGGCATGAAGACTGCCTTATATCACAGAGAACATATGGTATTTATCATTTTGGGGTTGGTTTATTTCACTGAGCATAATAGTCTCTGGTTGGGACCATCTAGATGCAAATGGTATCATTTCATTCTTTTTAATGGTTGAGTAATATTTCCTGAAGTGGATGTACCACAGTTTCCTTTGTCCATTTCTTTACAGGGTTGGTTTTATTTGTTTGTTTACTGTTCCTAGATTTCTGAAACTTTGTAAATCCTGGATATCAGTCCTCTATTACTTGTATAGTGTGCAAAGATTTTCTCCCATTCCGTTGGTTGCCTCTTCATTTTGTTAATTGTTTCCTTTGCTGTACAGAAGCTTTTTGGTTTAATGTTGTCCCATTTGTTCATTTTGGCTTTCACTGCCTGTGCTTTTGGTGTCTTTTCCAAGAAGTCTTTCCTCATTCCTGGTTTTTGGAGAATGCTTCCTATGTTTTTCTCTAATAGTTTGATGGTTTCTGGGTGTAGATTTCGGTCCTTGATCCATTTACAGCTGATTTTTGTCTAATGTGACAGCTACAGATCTTGCTTCTTAATTCTGCAAGCTGCTATCCAGTTGCCCCAACAGCATTTGTTGAATAGACCAGGCTTTTCTCTGGATTGTTTTCAGTTTTCTTGTCAAAGATTAGTTGTCTATACATGTGTGGGCTCCCTTCTGGTGTTTCTATTCTGTTGCATTGATCTTTTTCTCTGTTTCTGCACCAGTACCACACTGTTTTGATGACCACTGCTCTGTAGTATGTCTTGAGGTCTGAAATAGTGATTCCTCCAGCTTGAGTTTTACTCTTCGGGATAGCTTTGGCTATTCATGTTCTCCTGTGTTTCCAGATGAATTTTTGTATCTTCTTTTCTAGCTCTGCAAAGAATGTTGTTGGGATTTTGATTGGGATTGTGTTGAATCTGTGTATTACTTTTGGTAGTATGGACATTTTGATGATGTTGATCCTGCTGATCCAGGAATATCTTCATCCTGTCTAATGGTTCTCCATCATCCCAAACGTGTCTGCACCCTCTGCTGTCGTCTTGCCTCCTTCTCAGCTTGGATCTTTTTATTTATTTATTTTAACTTTATTTGAAAGGCAGAGCAAGAAAAAGTGAGAGACAAGGAAGATGGCCTGCCATCCATTGGTTTGCTGCCCTAATAGCTGCAACAGCTAGGGCTGGGACAGACCAAAACCAGGAGCCAGGAGCTTCTTCAGGCTTTGCCATGTGTCTGGCAAGTGTCCTCCATGGCCTCTCCAGGCCCGTGACAGAGCAGTCTCAGAAGCAGAGCAGCTGTGACTTGAGCTGGAGCTCTGCCGGCAGAGGGCTGAAGTTGCAGGTGAGGCTCATGGCTTCACCCATTGGGCCTTGGTACCAGCCCCTGTCTTGGGTCTTTAAGGAGTTAAGTTATGCTGGAGTGAAGCTGCATTTGATTTTGTAAAAGTCTGTATTGCTTCTTACTGTGCTAAAAAAAAAAAAAAAAAAAAAAAAGAAGAAGAAGAAATTTTTTTAAAAAAACTTAGTAATGAATGTGCCATCCAGGCCATAGAAACAGTAGGCTCTTATGCTGTGGATACAACAGCAGAGGCTCTGCTGATTCAGGGAGCCAGGATCTGATCTTTGCTGTCCACATATGGGTCTTGGATGTGCAGGTAGCCACTGAGAAGGGATTCTGCAGTGCATCCCAAGTGTGGCACCTGGACACTGACCCACAGATGCTGCCTGGACAGCCCCACCCCCTTCACTGGTGCTAAGCTTCTCAATGTCTCTCAGACAACTTTTGAAAACAACAAAACTCTATTTTCCAGTTGTTGTTCTATCACTGCTGCTTATTGCACTTTTCGGTGGGTTAAATTTTCAACCTGATCAAGGGTCTGGAGAATAAAGAAGTGTGTGATATACAGGGAAATGCGACAATGTCTTTTGAAATGTGCTTATGAGCAAATCTGTTTCTGAAAAGGTTATTCACCTAAGGTGCCACTGATATGGCATTCCTCCAAGGTGTGGCCCCATGACCTGTCTCCCCGGATGTGAAAGATAAAGATTCCTATGGAACTGCACCCCAGCACCTGGAGTCCAGGTGTGCAACCCAAGGAGTTCCCAGGAGGGCTGTGATGTACAGCACAGTTGGAGGACCATTGCTTGCAATGGTTAGACTAGTGCAGTTTCCTGCTGTGCATGTCCGTGTGCAGTCGCACATATCTGGTAACACTGTGTTTTCAGGGTGACCGCTGAGTGCAACTTTCACCAGAATGTGTGTATGTGTCTCTCTCTCTCTCCAGGCTATGTGGCTGATGTTGCAGAATGATGAGCCAGAGGACTTTGTCATAGCCACTGGGGAAGTGCACAGTGTCCGGGAATTTGTCGAGAAGTCGTTTATGTGCATCGGGAAAACCATTGTGTGAGTACAGGGGAGAGGTCACTGCTGGTACGCTGGCACGCGTGCGTGCCAGTCTGCCCAGGTACGGGTCACAGTCACATGGCTGCTGCCTCTGGCACTGCAATGCAGGGAGTTGCACTGCAGAGCTCTGCACCCAGCCATTCATGGTGTGTGCGCTTGCTGAGGTCAAGGCCTAAACCAGGTGTTTGCACCCTACAAACTGTCTTCTTTTCTCTGAACCACTGACAATAAGTTGCCTGTTGCCTCGTCACCCTGAGCTTCTGTACTTTCTACACACAATACCATTCTCCTTACATAAAACACAAGGCAACCAGTAAGTTGAGGAAACCTACGGCGATAAAGGAGAACCACTTAGTTCTCAGGTTCCGTTGGAGTTTGGCACCTGGACCAGTGGTTTCCTTTATACCAAAAATGATCTGATTTCCAGTTGTGCAGCTTACTCCTTGCATCACACAAGTTGTGAAATCAGATTTTTATTGAAATATTGGAAAGACTTCTGGAAAATCCTTCATTTTAAAGATGATTGTGCTTATTTACTTCTTGTCTGTTTTGGTAATTTACTATGAGCAAACATAGGTTGGAACACACAATTCCGTGACACTGAGCACACGCACCATGCTATGCTACGTGCAGCTCAGTTTCTGTCGGATGCTTTGTGCTCCTCTCTCCACCTCTTCTGATTGACGGGTTGCCTCCAGCCTGCCTTCACTAGATGCACGTGCCCATTGTAGGCACCTTGTCTAAGCCAAGCCATCCCTCTCTGTGCTTTCGTATGGTGCCAATATTCACTTTATTGCACTTACCGTGTTGTCAGTTTATCCTTGTTACAACGTTTAACTGGTTTTTATTTGTGAGACTGAATAGTATTTGGACGTAATTCCGTCCTTTTCTGGCCCCTCCCCCACCTCTTGGGCCTTCCACCGCATGTCAGGTTGCTTGGTGATCATCGCACAGGTCCACTGGAACTAGGTTCCTCCCCGTCCCCACTGTTTTTTTTTTTTTTTTGTACATTTCATCTTGGGTAGTTTCTGTTATGTCTGCATGTTCACTCATTCTCTTCTGCAATGTCTGATCTTTCGAAGCCAAAGGCATTTTCCATTCTAGATAGTTCTCATCTCTAAAAGTTCCATTTGGGGTCCAAGTGTGAGAGAGGCTGGGTAAGGAGGTGCAGGGAACGGGGGCTGGTGAGGGCCAATGCTTTCCTAAGGGTTGACATTTTCCCCAAATTTGTTGAGACAATAAAGCCACAGATCCAAGAGGCGTCATAAACCCCAAGCAGAATGAGCTCCACCAGAATCATACCAACGTACCTCGTAATCAAAACGCTCAAAATAAATGTCAGAGAAAAACTTAAAACAGTCAGAGAAGGTGATTCTTTAGAGAGAAACAAAAATAAGCAAGTTTGTAAGCAAATATGCAAGGAAAAAGACAGTAAAACAGTATCTTCCAACTAGTAAAGAAACTTCAGCCATAGAATCATATACCCATGAAATAGTTTTTAAGTGGACAGGAATTAAAGACTCTTTTTTTCAGGTTAAGGGGAAAAAAAGAAAAACAAAGTAAACTCATTACTAACGAACATTCAAGCTAAAAGATTATACCAGTTTAAGACTTAAATCTACATAATTGAGTGGACAGCAAGTGTTTTCTACGCATTTCTAAATTTCTTTGAAATTCCAGTAATTATTTTATGTAAAAGTAAAATGTTATGGAGTTTCCAATACTGTATCTGAACTCTGTGACAAGAATAGCACAAAGCATGTGACAAGACATAAACATTCACCATTACACTATTGTAGGCTTCTTACAATTAGATGTGAATTAGTGTAAGATTCTTGTAGAATTTCAGTCAGTTACAATACATGCCGTTGGCTCTAGAACTTTACTTAACCCAGTGGAAGATGAGCAGTAAGCCAGCAGCTGACTCAAAGTGCAACCCCACGTGTTCAATCTGAAAGACGCTAGAGAAGAAGGGAGGGGACAAGCCACAGAGGGGACAAAGAGAACGAAATCCCAACCACACTGACGATGATGATGATGTCGATGGTGAATGCTGTAAGCAACGTTTATTAAGGAGGTGATCTGGCTTGATAAATGAACCAAATGCTGTCTGCGAGGGGCCAGCTTAAATGTGAGTACACAGGAGATAAGGTAAAAAGATGAAAAAAAATAAAACAGGCCAACGCCATAAGAAAGCCAGAGAGGCTGTGTTGCATGAGACAAATACGACCTCAAGCTACAAGGAATGAAAATCTCCTCCCGTGAAAGGGATCAGTTCAGCAGGAAGGCACAGCAATTTCGTATACATATGGGATAGCTAAGATTAGTTACAGGCATTTCAAAATATGGACAGACCTGAGGAAACATAAGCAAACATTATCATTGGATGCTTAAGACTGCTCTGTAACTGACAGAGTAAGTAGACACATCAATGAGAATGTAAAAGGATTATCCTGTTGACTCAGTTAGCAGTGTAAATCATGTCCATTAGCCAAAAACAACAGAATGCATGTTCTTGTCAAGTGCTCCTGGCACATGCGTTCGAAGAGGCCACCTTCTGTACCATGAACTCAGCCTGGGGGTGTGACAGTGACACCCATCCCACGTTGGAGTGCCTGCGTTCAAGTCCAGTGTGTGTGCACTAGTGGGCACCCTGGGAAGCAGCTGCAGCCGATGACCTGGGTCGGGTCTGGGGTCAAGGCTTGGGGCCTGGCCCGGCCACGACCCTTGGGTGCATTTGGGGAGTGAACTAGCAGAGAGAAGATCTCTCTGCCTGTTTCTCTGCATTTCGAATAAAGATGCACAGTAAAAATCTCCACAAATGTTAAAGAATTGAAATAATAAGAGTATATTTGGGGGCCAAAAATAAACTAAATTTGAAGCCAATAACAGAAAAACTTCAAAATCCCCAGATATTGGAATCTGAACCACACACTTCTGAATAACACGTAAGCCAAGGAGAAGAATCCCAAAGGAAGTGGTATTTTTCCCTTAATGAAAATGAAAATGGAATGTCAAGAGTTGTAGGATACAGGCAAAGCAGCTAGCTGAACTTTCATCTTAAGCTAGCAATGCTGGACGGGCGTTGGTGTAGAGACGCGCGTGAATTTGCACCAAAGCTTTGTTGTAAATATGTACACACTCCAATGTGTAGTCGCCAACATGAATGCATAGTTAAGTGCATTTGCTGTGATGGAAAGCTGATGTGTGGTTAGGCTGAATGGCCTTGGGCTCATGAAAAGATGCTCCGTGGGTTAGCCTGGAAGATACACACGTGAGCATGAAGTGAGGGCTGGGAAAGACAGTGTTCTGGATGACAGAAAGGCTTGATGTCTTGTTGGTGGCCATGGATCCTGGAGTCCATGCCGTCCTCAAAATGCGTCAGATATACCTTATACACTGTATTGTTTGCGGACTGTGCTTCGGTGTGAGTTTTTTCATAGAAAGGAACCCCTTAAGTAGTTGTCATCAAGGACATGGTTCAGTAAGTTTGATCAGCCACTATACACCTATTAACAACAACACATATGAGGAATTTAAATAGCATGAAATATGACAACATTAAATTGGGAAAAAGCAGTTACAAGTTTATATATTTTATGAGAATGTAAAACTCCCCCAAAATACATTCACAAAAGATAACAGAAAAATGCACCAAAAAAATGTAATAGCAGCAGTTTCAGTAATACGGCTTCCTGGCTAACTTTTACTTTTCTACTGTCTAGTTTCCTCTGTTTCCCAAAATCCTGTAATGAACGTGTATGATTTTATTGTAAGAAATCACCTTAAATGTAGTCTTTAAATTTTGAAATCATCCTAGGAATGAATCCCCAAGTTAGACTCTGTTTGGAAACATGTCTGACCCCTTCTCCATCAGTGGACGCGCATGTCCTGGAGATTTCAGTCAGCAAGTCCTCATCTGTCCTGTGGTTCCAGAGACCCAGCGCCTGTCTGTCCCCGCCTAGCCCTTCCTGGACCAAGACGCTGTTTGGGAAGGAGTCTCCACAGTCTCCAATGCCTGCTTCGTGTAGAAACTGCTGTGTGTCGTAACCCCTGCTGGAGAAGCACCAAGGGGCAGATGAAACGTGAATTAATTTCCTGTTCAGACTTGTCCCACCTCTGAGATATCTTACTGTGTATCAGCAAATGTTCCAAATTCCAAAGGAAAAGAATCTGAATCTTAGAACACTTGTTGATTGTTAGCGATTTGGATAAAGAATCCTCGACCTGTAGTTTGTGCAGGCTGTAAACGTACTACCCCAAGCCAGATGTAATGTAACCGTGATGACTCTGTGAGTGCAGTGCACACTTCAGGTCTCACTGTTTCGCCCGGTCTCCTTCCTCCGACTCTTCTTGGGCCCCACACATCAACATTCCGATCTCTGCTGGAAGAGGAGCAGGAAGCCTCAGGCAGCACCAGGAGCCCCCAGCTGCAGCTGTGAGCTTCTGACTGGGCAGGCCGTGTCCTCAGAGGCAGAAATGAGAGAGAAAACACATGAAAATCCAAACAGATGTGGGAAGGCAGAGAATGGCACTGTCCCCAGCTGAGGGCAGCCCGACTTTGGGATAGCCTCAGGAGGGCAGGAGTTCCCTGCGGATCGGTAATTTTGCTTTATGAGATTTCTGTTACCGGCCATCAGCTGCAGCACAAGGGGTTATGTGGCAATTCCACAAGCAAGCGATTCATAACCTTAGAACTCACCATTCTGTGTGACCCGGTGGGGTCGTATGCTGCTCTCCCCCATCCTGCCCTGGTTGTGCAACATGCCCATGTCCCACATGCACACGTTGTATGCGACCTCCATCCTTTGTGTACACGTGCTTTGTAGCTACCCCTCTGTCCATGTGAACACACTGGGTACTACTCAGCCTCAGGCACTGGAGAGCCACCTTGGTTATCAAATCCACAGTTTCAGTATCCCAGTGGTGGTGCTCAAGTCACCCATATTTTAACAACAGTCTCAAAGTACACTGTTTAAATTTGGCTGCAGTATATTGTT